CTCAAACTGCCTACCTCACCGCCTGACCCTGGCTGCCACTCCCGTCAACAAGCTGAGGGAACTTTCAGGTTAATAGCACAGAATTCACGCTGTTGGAGACGGATCATGAGATACCATTAGACTGACATAATGGAATATTTAGTCATAAGTCTTGTATGGGGTGGAAAATTAGAAAGCTGTTTTAAAAAAATACTTAACAAAACACTCCAAGTAAACTTTAATTCATAGTTGTTTAGCAGAAAGTATTTTCTCCCCTCCATTTACTATTTCAGTGGTAACTGAAGGAGTAAGAATGTATGTAAACTTACACAAGTTTGTGGGTTTAGTTGGGTTTTTTTATCTGAATGGTTTTGTCATGTTGACTGACTATGCTGAGTTTACTCCATGCTTCTTGAAAAAAAAAAAACAAAACTGTCAGAGGCAAAAGACAGTAAGCATTTTTAATCTGCACTGACTGTTAAGGATCCTAAGAGAAAAACTTAGGATTAAAGGGGTATTTCCTCAATGGAACAAGTGTTATTGAATAGTCTTATTCTGTAACATATTTTAAGATTTTAATTACCTTCAGTCAGTTTGACCAAGTAAACAGTAAAGTTCCAGTCTGTTTCAAAGCTGACTTCTATAGCCAATAGACTCAAATCCCTACTCTTTGCAACCACACTGCAGTTTCAAAATACTATTCCATATTATGCAGTGTTAAATGTGTTATTATCCTGACTCAGTTGGAATTTTCACTTTGGACAGTGTTCTGGCAAGGCACAGAAGCCTTGATCAAGCTAGGACCCATCCAGACAGCTCTCTCTCTCAAACTGTGCCATGGGTAAGCAGACTGTTTCCTTCAGGGTTGTCAATAAAACTTTTCAGGAACAAGGCACAATGAAGAATGTAAAGGAAAGCGTAGCTGCTTACGAGATACTACTGAGAAGCTTGCACCTAAATCCAACTCAAAAGCAAACCCTAAAAGATCTCACCAAATGAAGCAATACGGGTTGCTGTGCAGAATTTGCACAAATCCTTCCAAAATATCCCTCCTTAAATTGACTGTCTAGTCCCCAGCTGACTAAAACAGTCACAAATGCTGTGTAATCATTATGCAATACTCATCATCCTTCAAGGCACCAAAAGAAGGATAGTGTGAAAACAATACAAAGTCAACAGTTTCTAACAAAGGACAGTTTTAGTTGAGAGCAGAATTGTGCAGGTTGTGAATCACTGGAAGTTGTCTCCATAAGTATCTAATGAGTGTTCCCACTACAGTGAACAATCTTATTTTATCCTGGAGTCTCAAGGGATTTTTTTTTAAAGCTGATCTTGGATTTAGATTTTTAAAGCTTGCACACTACATTAATGCATTTTGTTACACAAATGGAATATGTTACGCAATATGGAAATGTGTAAAAATGATAACTAAATTGCTGTGAATCTTTGCTAATACCCTCTTAGATTGGGGTAGACTCACTGCAAGGACCCTAACCCATCGAACTACCACCCACTTGGAGAGATCCAGGGTGCTATGAAACCCAAGTATAATAATTTGTCATCATTCCACTGCAAGAAAATTTAGCTGCCGACATCTACTTACAGCATCTGTTTCACGTGCCAGTTCAAACAGAAGGGCTAGTGTTTCTCCAGCAGCTATTCTCATGTTGAGATCATCACAAGACAGCAGACTTGGCAGTTTATGCAAGTGCCTAAGGATTAAGTCACATTTGATTAAGATGCAAATTTTGTTGACATTGCTCTATTGCATATAAAAACAGCCATAACACATTTTGATTTCCAAGAAGATACTCACATTTCAATTTTTTTCTTCACTTCATTCACTGGACAAATGGTCAACAACAGTGTCCATGCCAAGAGAGCACTGACGTGAAGCACAGTATTATGGGTACTCGGTACACCATTAGTGTCTCTATCTCGCTGATAGGCCTTTGTGAAGATATTCTCCAAGCATTCCATAGTAGAGTACAGTTCCTGAACAGGAGGAAAAAAATATCACGGGTGACTTAAGAGTCACACATTTTCTTATCGCCAATTTCTTTTTTTTGAAAAGCATTATTTATTCTCACCGTAATGTCATCAGTGACAATGAAACAGCAAATTCCTAAACAGGTTGCACACTAGAAGTAAAAGAAAACACTGTCAGTATTTGACATTAATGTTCCTGTTTACAAAATCTTAAAACTTTGACCTCTGAAATTCAACATCTGGACTGCAGGAATTTTTTTAAAACCATAGCATAGAAGTCTTCAGCACTGTTTGATTTGTCTACTTTGTAACAGTAAGCTCTAAGTTCCTGTCTACTCCCAGCATGATTTTACTACATACGCTACTCACAAGCCTTCATTTTTCATGCTGTATTTAATACAAAGCACCTCCAGAAAGCTACATGTAGCATTCCTTTCATCCAGTTATTTTAAATCCCACTAGGATTTACCAGCAGAAATTATGCTGATAAACAGTGATGGATTATATTGATTCACAGCTGTGGGAACTATTTTCCCTCTCTGCCCATTTTTACAATTAAACAGCATGAGAACACTCGACTTCCAAGAACCTTTCTTGCACTTTCCAACTTTTACTCTTCCCTCTCCCTGCATTCTTTAAGAGTGCATGTTTGCACTAACCAGACAACACTTAAAACTACACTTTAAAACAGGACAAGCTTTAACAGCTTTTGTTTATTTGTAGAAGACACTGCTGTTGAACTAATACTACCTCCTCTTCTAGCTAAGAGTATCTGATGCAATATAGCTTGAGTAAAATAGGAGAAACAGTCAGCTATATAATTATAAAGGCAAGTTGGAGAGTATTAGTTAAAACTCTGAAATTTAAAAAAAGAAAACAACAAACTCTTGGCAAGAGCTTTAGATTGTTGTCAGTCAATATTTACAATATAGCCCTGATGTATATATGAGATGACTGGGCAAAAAATTTAACATACTTCTGGGAGTATGAATGTATCAAGTATGTAGTTATTCATCTGCTATATGTAATTTTATCATATTTATGTTTACATAACTAAAATTCCTCTGCTATTAAAGAAAGACATTAAAACTAAAGCAGGAAGGATGTAACAGTCAGTGGGAAAGCTTCCTTTTTTCCTATAGGACTTGAACAACAGCCATCAAAACTGCACCAAGGAGACTGCAACACAGTGAGTTAAGACACTTGACAAAGCACTAGATCTAACAGCTCTTCAAGGAAGCTCCTAGATAGAAGAAGAGAATTACATTAAAGCTTTAGGTGGAACTTTTGAAACCAGTGAAAACTGCTGTGCATCATTCACAGCATACATCAACATCACAAGTTTACACCAGTGCAGTAACCTTTAGTTCTGGATTACACAAGAGTGAGCTGGTTAAACTGCCCTCTGTCCTTGCCTGACAGATAAACATTTGATACTTACAGCCTGTCTGGCTTGGATACTGGCTGTTCCATCACAGACAATCTTCTTCAGAACTGGACCAAGGGTCTTAAAAATCTCTTCACTTTCAATTCCTGACCCCATCTGCACACACAGAAGACACGCCAGTCCAGCAGCTGCACGCTGTTCATCACTCTTACCTAGACATGAACACGCTATGATGAGTGATCCCCTTGTGTATTACTTCCTTCCTTTAAAAATTAGCCTGAAAACTTGCAAGTGGAAATTTGGAAACCAATAGACAAGAAGCGAATTTCTGTGAATCTTCTAGGTCAGTGAAATCATAACATCTAAATTTGAAAAAGGAATGCTGTCAAGCTAACTAAATTAAGCACTCTGTAAAACACCAGAAAAGGCTCAGTCTTAATTCCTTTTAAACACTAAGCTACTTTATGGGGATTATTGCTTTCTAATAGCAAGCATGTTAATTACCTTTCTTTATGCAGCGTTCAATGCTATCAGTTAGTGTCATTCTCCTTTCCATGATAAATTCATAGAGTATTTTAGAGGAAAAAGCACTTTTCAGACTTTCAAGAGCTGCTTGTCTTGTCTTTGCACTGTTGAGAGAGAAAAGCAAGACCTCCTGAAATTAGCACACATCAGTTACACTCAGCTTTTGTTTTTATGGTAGTTTGTCTGCACCCAACAGAAGAGTAACCCACAGCAGTACTATGAAGAATGAAAAGCTATGAATTGCCTCCTTTCTCCAGGACAGATAAACATAGGCTGGAGATACACTGAGTTCACAATAGTACGTCCAGCTAGGTATTAGGTCATTCTACTTCAACTTACTAGGAAAGTCCGACTCTCACTTCTCTGAAAACCTGGTGCAGAGAAAGGTCTTTTCAGATCCAGAAGAAAAAAAAAAAAACAACAAGTCTTCCCCAGCATGGAATAATTCTGATTTCAGTAAGCATATTAAGAAGTTTGATGCTTATTTCCTTTCTTGTATCAGAGAAAGCCAGAAAACAATGTATGAATGCATTTCTTCAAAGCATACTATACCTCTTGTCCAATGTAAGATCAATAAATCCTTTCAATTTGTATTCTAAGTCTTCTTGAGTGGCTTCTTCATCAACTTCAGGCCCTAATCCAAAGGAAATAAATCAGTCCTACTGATACACATTTTATTAGCAGACACATTAGTATTCAATACTTAAAATGTCAGTACTGATAAGAAAGCAGTTTAACATAGACAACAGCTACAGAATTACTTAGTATTACAACAACAGTATGGTGTTAAGCCTACCATATCAAACTGTCCCTTAAAATACTTTTATAAGAATTGATCTACTGATACATCTGTGCTGTTTCTATACCCGCTTCTTACATGTGCCAAGAATGACAGAGTTTTGCATAAATTTGCTACAACTGAGGCCCATCAGCCAATCCTTTCAGCAGCACATTTTCATCCAGCCCACTACATCTACCCCTGGAATACAGCAGGGCGTTCACTGTCGATGCAGTGAGTACTGTCAACACAGCATCTCCTATCTGGCATCACTTCAGATGTCTCTGCAACAGCAGCTCACTTAAGAGCTGCAAATATTCCTAGGGAAGGCTCCCTGTCTTATCCACCTCTAGCAGGCCTTCAGGTGCCCTTTTCCAAACAAGAAACATCAGCCCAGGTCACATAGATGGTAACAGAGACAAATCACAAACCCAGTTCAAGAGGCAAATGTGATTTATTCCATCCCAAACTCTTCTGCAGTTCTTACCATCTCTACTACATGCTATGAAAATCTCTATCTTATAATGCACCTTAAAATTCTTACCATCTCCAAAAGTTAGCTGTATTATTCTAACAGAAAGAAGTCTAGTAGTTCTGCAAGAGGCTCATAAAACCTGGAATTATATTCTTAGCAAACAAAACAATAGACACTAGATTAACAATCACTGTGTTCAACGGAGTGTCATTGTTTTGCTACTGCTACTTACAGTCTAGTACTTAAACTCCTAGGTCAACTCAGGTTTTATGTTTTTGAAAAGATTAACAGATATAAATGAGAGAATTTACCATCCTCAGTGAAGCTAGCAGGATCACTGAAGCCACTGCAGTGGCTCATAGTTTCTATAGAAGCATCTTCATCACTAAAAGGCTGCACATTTCTGGGCTGACCACCTTAAGGAAAGAGGAATACAATAGTTTAGTCACTTCCCGTATGCAAAAGGAAGATGTGAACACCAAAAGTAGAATTTAACTCTCCCAACAATTCATTCTCCCTGACTCAGGGAGCACATTTCCTTTCTCTGCTGGCTCCTTTACTCCCAACCATTTTGAAGAATTAGCTGGCTCTGTTCTGGAAGATCATTTGTAAATGGTGGGAAAAAGCCCACCTACTTTTACAAGTATTCCCTATTTACAAGCCCACTTATCTACAAGTATTTACAAGAATTCTTAACTCCAGATTCTACCATCAACCTCAAGTTAATGCAGCTTCCTGTCACTTTAAAAATAGCTGTTTATTAATTCAACTGTTGGGACAAATTACCTAAAAAAATTGCCATACAATCTTTATTTTTCAATTTTTAGGGACTTCAAAAGCCTGCGTAAGTTATACATTTAGGTAAGCATTCATGGCCCTGTTCAATGCAGGATTTACGGGATTAAGCATAGTATGTGGTGCATCAGCAACATCCAACCCTATTTTAATACTGAATTACAAATGCAAGCCAGAACATCAACTGTTTTGACAGGTGAACAAAGTTTTCCCTTTCAGGATCCAGAAGGCTTCAGTATAGTAACTTCAGCCTTTTTGAATAAAGCAGTATTTTCACCAGTGTTCATCTCTACAACTTTTTATGCCTGTATCTTATTGTTACAGCACTGAGTTGTTAAGAGTTTCACCTGATATCACTGTATTTTCTACCACTGTCCTATCCTAGCCCTTAATTTGCAACTAGTAAAGGTGATTACCAAAAGAATAATTATACTGGTATTTCTCCAACAGGCCTTAAATGTCATTTACATAACTCAAAATCCTCCTCTTCCACTTATTTTCTGTGGTACAAGTGAACCCAATTTAATTAAGAAGGCAAGGCACAGCACAGTGCTTGCAGCTTCAGGCAAGCTTCCTGACTGCTAAGACCCCCGAAAAGCATTTTTATCTGAGCAGAATCAACCTTGAGTTGATCACAGTCCCAGTGCTTTCCCATAAACTAAGGTTCCTCTTTCAGAGGTTTTGCAGCTCTTAGCTGCAAGCCATCTACTTGCATCACTGACCACAACCTTTGATCTTTCCTATTGTTAGAAAGGGCAAACATTAGCCAATGCAAAGGCCAAGAAACTTGGAAGCTCAGAGCTATGGCACGACCACCTTCTTGCTCCTAATGGTATCAAGCAGGACAGTTCAATGGCAGAAATGGCACAAATGACTGCCAGCCCTTCGCAAACTAAAGTAAAACCAGCTGCGGGAAGAGTCTGTGAATTGGCCGCTTCCTGAACATGTGATCCTAGAGACAGACTCTGCTCTCAGCTACCGTAGCCTGAAGTGAAGTTTCTCACGACCCCACAAAGCCTCCATCCTACCAGGCATCTGCACCTCAGCCACACGCATTTTGGATCCGTACGAAGACGCACAGTGCACAGCCAAACAGCCACCCGAGACACCAGACTGACAGCAGCAG